ATCTGTTTGCTTCTCATTACACACCACGGACCAACATATATTCTTTACATCAACAACATAGGAATCACTACAAAACGTATTGTATGACCTCTTATACACTATATTAGGCCCAGCCTTTGGAACTTTGGTTTTCCTAGATATGGCTACTATATTGTGATCACTACATCCAATGGACTTGGATTCTGCTTTCAAACAAATTTCTGCAGCGTTAGTAAAGATATGATCAATACATGTTGATGATTTGATTCCTGTACTGTTTGTAACTACCCTGGTAGGTTGACTGATAACCTGAAACAGGTTGCAGGCACTGGTTACGGTTTGAAGCTTTCTCTTGAGTGGGCTGATGAAAGCCAGTCAATATTTAAATCACCCAGAAAGTATACCTCTCTATTGATATCACATACATTATCAAGCATTTCACATGTTATCCAGATGCTGAATGTTAGCACTTGGTGGTCTATAGCAGCTTCCCACCAGAATGGGCTTTAGGTGAGGCAGATGAACCTGTAGCCATATTACTTAAACAGCATTTAACAATATTTTTGAGTTGAGAACAGGTTCTCATTTACAACTGCGACCTGGCCAAGATAAAGAAAAGCAGTGCAATAAAAACAACACAGTGTTACATATGGGGTAAAAAACATAAAGTCAAAAATACAACAGAAAATATATATACAGTGTGTGCAAATGTAGCAAGTTATGGAGGTAAGGCAATAAATAGGCTATAGTGCAAAATAATTACAATAGTATTAACACTGGAATGCTAGATGTGCAAGAGATTATGTGCAAATTGAGATACTGGGGTGCAAAAGAGCAAAATAAATAACAATATAGGGATGAGGTAGTTGGGTGGGCTAATTTCAGATGGGCTGTGTACAGGTGCAGTGATCGGTAAGGTGCTCTGACAACTGATGCTTAAAGTTATTGAGGGAGATAAGAGTCTCCAGCTTCAGAGATTTTTGCAATTCGTTCCAGTCATTGGCAGCAGAGAACTGGAAGGAATGGCGGCCAAAGGAGGTGTTGGCTTTGGGAATGACCAGTGAGATATACCTGCTGGAGCGCAGACTACGGGTGGGTGCTGCTATGGTGACCAATGAGCTAAGATAAGGCGGGGATTTGCCTAGCAGTGATTTATAGATGGCCTGGAGCCAGTGGGTTTGACGACGAACATGTAGTGAGGACCAGCCAACAAGAGCGTACAGGTCACAGTGGTGGGTAGTGTATGGGGCTTTGGAGACAAAACGGATGGCACTGTGATAGACTACATCCAATTTGCTGAGTAGAGTGTTGGAGGCTATTTTGTAAATGACATCGCCGAAGTCAAGGATCGGTAGGATAGTCAGTTTTACGAGGGCATGTTTGGCAGCATGAGTGAAGGAGGCTTTGTTGCGAAATAGGAAGCCGATTCTAGATTTAACTTTGGATTGGAGATTCTTTATGTGAGTCTGGAAGTTGAGCTTACAGTCTAACCAGACACCTAGGTATTTGTAGTTGTCCGCATACTCTAGGTCAGACCCGTCGAGAGTGGTGATTCTAGTCGGGTGGGCGGGTGCCAGCAGCGTTCGATTGAAAAGCATGCATTTAGTTTTACTAGTGTTTAAGAGCAGTTGGAGGCTACTGAAGGAGTGTTGTATGGCATTGGATTACATTAGATCCTCTCTAATCTTCACAGGAATGTGGTTCTGAATATAAACAGCAACACCTCCACCATTGGCATTTCTATATTTTCTGTAAATGTTATAACCTTGTAATTGCTACCACTATGTTAACGTGGGCTATTTTGAGCACTTTTCTTCTGGGATGCTTACTTGTTTTTATTGCGTTACTGGGAAGCTTAGCAGCAGTAGATGTGGTCATGTTCTTTATGTTAGTGCAGGGTGAGTTGCACACAGTGGACTTCCTCCTAGGGCACACCGCCTCAGTGCTAACAGTATAAATCTGGTTCTTAGGCACATGATTACTGCATACAATAGCTGTAGGATCAGCAGAGGCATTCAGGGCAGTTAGAGGGATATCAATTAGGTCACTTATATTGTGTCTACCGACGCCCCTGATGTAATGTACATTTGCTGAAGCGTTTTGACAACTCTGCGTCACAATGGTAGGGATTAGCTGAGCTGAGCTTGGGTCATTGCTAAGTCATTGTCTCAACGCAGCCTTATAATGCTGTGAAAGGATCCAGGAACCCAAATGATTTGGGTGGATCCCATCCTCCGTATAAAACGTGTTTTGTTTCCAAAAGGTATCGAAATTGTCAACAAAAGTTACACCCATTGAGCTGCAATAATCACGTAGCCAATTGTGAAGAGCAAGAATCCTGCTAAAGCGTTCAATGCCACGATTCAGAGAGGGCACAGGGCCAGATATGATGGGTTTTTTGTTAGTGTCTAACAGAGTCAATCAGTTCTTTAAAATCCAGTTTCAACTGTTCAGAGCTGCCCTTCATAATGTCATTAAAACCCACATGGACTACGATAGAATCCATTTCCATGTCCTGACATAGTACATTCGGGAGCAGCTTAGTAATGTCATTTACTCCAGCTCCGGGATAGGACATTGTTTTTGCACCAGGAATGGTCACATTTCTTACCATGGAGCTGCCCAAAATCACGGATGGCGAGAAGGACGAGGAAATTCGGCCACTCCCACGTTTCACAGGATGCAGGCCTCCGACAGATGGAGAAGCCCCGCTCGATCCAGAGCAGGGACAGAAGGTTGCCGACTTCGAAATTGTAGTAGTTGTGAGGAGGAGGAGCTCTGCAGAACCCTATCCTCTATTGAACTATACACAATAGAGTTGTGAGGAGGAGGAGGAAGAGGAGCTCCGTGGACCCTATCATCTACTGAACTATACACAATAGAGTTGTGAGGAGGAGGAGGAAGAGGAGCTCCGTGGACCCTATCATCTACTGAACTATACACAATAGAGTTGTGAGGAGGAGGAGGAAGAGGAGCTCCGTGGACCCTATCATCTACTGAACTATACACAATAGAGTTGTGAGGAGGAGGAGGAAGAGGAGCTCCGTGGACCCTATCATCTACTGAACTATACACAATAGAGTTGTGAGGAGGAGGAGGAAGAGGAGCTCCGTGGACCCTATCATCTACTGAACTATACACAATAGAGTTGTGAGGAGGAGGAGGAAGAGGAGCTCCGTGGACCCTATCATCTACTGAACTATACACAATAGAGTTGTGAGGAAGAGGAGGAAGAGGAGCTCCGTGGACCCTATCATCTATTGAACTATACACAATAGAGTTGTGAGGAGGAGGAGGAAGAGGAGCTCCGTGGACCCTATCATCTATTGAACTATACACAATAGAGTTGTGAGGAGGAGGAGGAAGAGGAGCTCCGTGGACCCTATCATCTATTGAACTATACACAATAGAGTTGTGAGGAGGAGGAGGAAGAGGAGCTCCGTGGACCCTATCATCTACTGAACTATACACAATAGAGTTGTGAGGAGGAGGAGGAAGAGGAGCTCCGTGGACCCTATCATCTATTGAACTATACACAATAGAGTTGTGAGGAGGAGGAGGAAGAGGAGCTCCGTGGACCCTATCATCTATTGAACTATACACAAAAGAGTTGTGAGGAGGAGGAGGAAGAGGAGCTCCGTGGACCCTATCATCTATTGAACTATACACAATAGAGTAGTGAGGAGGAGGAGGAAGAGGAGCTCCGTGGACCCTATCATCTATTGTTGAGTGTGCAGTATTTATGAAGTTTGTCAATGAGGACAGTAGAAGGGGTAGAGGTGTGGGAAAGGCTGATAAGGCTGCTAAAACAAAGCTTACCTCACTAATGTATGAAAACATCCTGACCCTGGTCTCCTCAGTTCCTCTCTGTTATTCTCCCCACTCACTCTCCTGTTCTCATATTTTGTACCTGTAATTCTGTATCTCCACCTGACTAACCCCTGTCCTCCTCATACCTCCACACTAAACCCTGTCTCTTCCCAATCTCCACCTGATAACCCTGTCCTCTCCTCATATCTCCACTGACTAACCCTGTCCTCTCCCTACATACCTCCACCTGACTAACCCCTGTCCTTCCCTCATTACTCCACTGACTAACCCCTGTCCTCTCCCTCATATCTCCACCTGACTAACCCCTGTCCTCTCCCTCATATCTCCACCTGACTAACCCCTGTCCTCTCCCTCATACCTCCACCTGACTAACCCCTGTCCTCTCCCTCATATCTCCACCTGACTAACCCCTGTCCTCTCCTCATATCTCCACCTGACTAAACCCCTGTCCTCTCCCTCATACTCCACCTGACTAACCCCTGTCCTCTACCTCATACCTCCACCTGACTAACCCTGTCCTCTCCTCATATCTCCACCTGACTAACCCATGTCCTCTCCCTCATATCTTCCAACCTGACTAACCCCTGGTCCTCTCCCTCATATCTCCACCTGACTAACCCCTGTCCTCTCCCTCATATCTCCACCTGACTAACCCCTGTCCTCTCCCTCATATCTCCACCTGACTAACCCCTGTCCTCTCCCTCATACCTCCACCTGACTAACCCCTGTCCTCTCCCTCATATCTCCACCTGGACTAACCCCTGTCCTCTCCCTCATACTCCACCTGACTAACCCTGTCCTCTCCCTCATATCTCCACCTGACTAACCCCTGTACTCTTCCCTCATACCTCCACTGACTAACCCCTGTCCTCTCCCTCATATCTCCACCTGACTAACCCTGTCCTCTCCCTCATATTCTCCACCTGACTAACCCCTGTCCTCTCCCTCATATCTCCACCTGACTAACCCCTGTACTCTTCCTCATATCTCCACCTGACTAACCCCTGTCCTCTCCCTCATATCTCCACCTGACTAACCCCTGTCCTCTTCCTCATACCTCCACCTGACTAACCCCTGTCCTCTCCCTCATATCTCCACCTGACTAACCCCTGTCCTCTTCCTCATATCTCCACCTGACTAACCCCTGTCCTCTACCTCATATCTCCACCTGACTAACCCCTGTCCTCTCCCTCAGCTATAAGAAGGGCGGTGTGGAGTCGGGGTTCCGTCACGTTGAGTCCAATGTGTACAACATCCTGCGGCTGCTGCACGTTAAAGGAAGCAAGCATGTCACCGCCACAGAGGTATGCAGCAGTGGGAGGCTCCACTCCCTTTAACCCAGCCTCAGTCTCTCTAACCCAGCCTCGGTCTCTCTAACCCAGCCTCAGTCCCTCTAACCCAGCCTCAGTCCCTCTAACCCAGCCTCAGTCTCTCTAGCCCAGCCTCAGTCTCTCTAACCCAGCCTCAGTCCTTCTAACCCAGCCTCAGTCCCTCTAACCCAGCCTCAGTCCCTCTAACCCAGCCTCAGTCCCTCTAACCCAGCCTCAGTCTCTCTAACCCAGCCTCGGTCTCTCTAACCCAGCCTCAGTCCCTCTAACCCAGCCTCAGTCTCTCTAACCCAGCCTCAGTCCTTCTAACCCAGCCTCAGTCTCTCTAACCCAGCCTCAGTCCCTCTAACCCAGCCTCAGTCTCTCTAACCCAGCCTCGGTCTCTCTAACCCAGCCTCAGTCTCTCTAACCCATCCTCAGTCTCTCTAACCCATCCTCAGTCTCTCTAACCCAGCCTCGGTCTCTCTAACCCAGCCTCAGTCTCTCTAACCCATCCTCAGTCTCTCTAGCCCAGCCTCAGTCCCTCTAACCCATCCTCAGTCTCTCTAACCCAGCCTCAGTCCCTCTAACCCAGCCTCAGTCTCTCTAACCCAGCCTCGGTCTCTCTAACCCAGCCTCAGTCTCTCTAACCCAGCCTCAGTCTCTCTAACCCAGCCTCAGTCTCTCTAACCCAGCCTCAGTCTCTCTAACCCAGCCTCAGTCCCTCTAACCCAGCCTCAGTCCCTCTAACCCAGCCTCAGTCTCTCTAACCCAGCCTCAGTCCCTCTAATCCAGCCTCAGTCTCTCTAACCCAGCCTCGGTCTCTCTAACCCAGCCTCAGTCCCTCTAACCTAGCCTCAGTCATCCACACTGGGGCCTACCACTGCCTGTCTTTTCCCTGGGTGGAAGAATGCAGTGTTCTAGGTGTGTATTGTGTTTCCAGGTAGAGGTTTCGTGGAGCAGCTTCAACAGTGGAGACATCTTCCTTCTGGACATGGGGAAGGTCATAGTTCAGTGGAACGGCCCTCAGAGCAACCGGAGGGAGAAACTCAAGGTACCTAACCCTAACCCTGACCCTGACCCCGACCTCTATCCCTAAACCCCTTACCCTAACCCTCAACTCTTAACCCCAAGCCAAACCCTGACCCCGACCTCTATCCCTAACCCTCAGAGCAACAGGAGAGAGAAAAATCAAGGTACCGCTGACCCCTGACCTCTAACCCTGACCCTAAACCTGAACCCTTAACCACTAACCGCTGACCATAACCCTCAGAGCAACAGGAGGGAGAAACTCCAGATAGTCGTAGTGAATACCATGGCCATGTGTTTAGTGTGTCATCATGATAATGAGGATCAGATGACTGTTCATTTTTGATGACAGCCCCTTGAAAGCCTTCCATTTACAATACCAGGGTTGGTTTCTGTTTAGTTATTGGTTAGGTTTAGTTGCAGATGTTTTTCCACCAAACAATCAATGTTATATCCTCCCCTCCCTGTAGGCTGTGCTGCTGGCTCAGGATATCCGTGACAGGGAGCGAGGGGGGCGTGCTCAGATCGGGGTGGTGGAGGGGGGAGATGAGGAAGACTCCCCTGAGCTGATGAAGATCATGAGGGCCGTGCTGGGTCAGAGGTCAGGCAAGCTGAAGGAGGCGGAGCCTGATGACACACCAGACCACCAACAGCAGACCGCCAACATCAGGCTCTACAAGTACGTAGACTAACTCTGGAGACTGACACCCAGGCTACTGTTCCAGACTGACACCCAGGCTACTGTTCCAGACTGACACCAAGGCTACTGTTCTAGACTGACACCCAGGCTACTGTTCCAGACTGACACCAGGCTACTGTTCCAGACTGACACCAGGCTACTGTTCCAGACTGACACCCAGGCTACTGTTCCACTGACACCCGGCCTTTAGATGACACCCAGGCTACTGTTCCAGACTGACACCCAGGCTACTGTTCCAGACTGACACCAGGCTACTGTTCCAGACTGACACCCAGGCTACTGTTCTAGACTGACACCCAGGCTACTGTTCCAGACTGACACCAGGCTACTGTTCCAGACTGACACCCAGGCTACTGTTCACTACCAGGCTCTGTCAGACTGACACCCAGGGCTACTGTTCCAGACTGACACCCAGGCTACTGTTCCAGACTGACACCCAGGCTACTGTTCCAGACTGACACCCAGGCTACTGTTCCAGACTGACACCAGGCTACTGTTCCAGACTGACACCCAGGCTACTGTTCCAGGACTGACACCCAGGCTACTGTTCTAGACTGACACCCAGGCTACTGTTCCAGACTTGACACCCAGGCTACGTTCCCGACTGACACCCAGGCTATGTTCAGACGACACCAGGCTACTGTTCCAGACTGACACCCAGGCTACTGTTCCAGACTGACACCCAGGCTACTGTTCCAGACTGACACCAGGCTACTGTTCCAGACTGACACCCAGGCTACTGTTCCAGACTGACACCCAGGCTACTGTTCCAGACTGACACCCAGGCTACTGTTCCAGACTGACACCAGGCTACTGTTCCAGACTGACACCAGGCTACTGTTCCAGACTGACACCCAGGCTACTGTTCCAGACTGACACCCAGGCTACTGTTCCAGACTGACACCCAGGCTACTGTTCCAGACTGACACCCAGGCTACTGTTCCAGACTGACACCCAGGCTACTGTTCCAGACTGACACCCAGGCTACTGTTCTAGACTGACACCAGGCTACTGTTCCAGACTGACACCCAGGCTACTGTTCCAGACTGACACCAGGCTACTGTTCTAGACTGACACCAGGCTACTGTTCCAGACTGACACCCAGGCTACTGTTCCAGACTGACACCAGGCTACTGTTCTAGACTGACACCCAGGCTACTGTTCCAGACTGACACCAGGCTACTGTTCCAGACTGACACCCAGGCTACTGTTCCAGACTGACACCCAGGCTACTGTTCTAGATTGTGTCTAAATTAATTCTCACACCTTGGTGTGTGTGTGTAACAAAGGTGATGTGATGATCTTATCTCCTAATCCTTCAGTCTGTCTCCCAGTGTGTCTGATAACAGTGGTAAACTGGTGGTCCAAGAGATAGCCATGCAGCCTCTGACTCAGGACCTGCTGCACTCCACGGTACAACGACTTTATTATGCACTCAATATCATGATTAACCTCATTCTAACTTTTATTTAATTTCATTCGTATAACTATACATTTTCATATTTTTACTGTGTAATTCATCACACATTGCTTAACAGAAGACCTTAGTCTGCATGGCCTGTTCAGCTTTTCCATTACACTCTCTCTCTCTCTCTCTCTCTCTCTCTCTCTCTCTCTCTCTCTCTCCTCTCTCTCTCTCTCTCTCTCTCTCTCTCCTCCCCCTCCCTCACTCCCTGTTAGGACTGCTATATTGTGGACCAGGGTGGTTCGAGTGTGTTGGTGTGGAAGGGAAAGGAGTCGTCTAGTGAGGAGCGTCGCTCGGCACTGAGCAGGGCAGTGGTGAGTCACAGTGGACCAAGTGGAACAGGAACACAGCATTACTGTAACCAAAATCAAAGTATGACTAAATTACATGCACATCTCAAGTTAGGATTCAACCCTCAATGCAGAGTAAACGTCCCTCACCCTCTATCCTCTGTAGGGCTTCATCAAGGCTAAGAACTACTCAAGCAGCACTAATGTGGAGGTGATGGCAGAAGGAGGAGAATCAGCCATGTTCAAACACCTCTTCATTTCATGGAGAGAGAATGGACAGACAAAGGGCCTGGGGAATGTGTACTCCACTGGGAAGATAGGTAACTACTAACTAACCAAGATAGGTAACTACTAACTAACCAAGATAGGTAACTACTACCAACTAACCAAATAGGTAACTACTACCAACTAACCAAATAGGTAACTACTAACTAACCAAGATAGGTAACTACTACCAACTAACCAAATAGGTAACTACTAACTAACCAAGATAGGTAACTACTACCAACTAACCAAATAGGTAACTACTACCAACTAACCAAATAGGTAACTACTAACTAACCAAGATAGGTAACTACTACCAACTAACCAAATAGGTAACTACTACCAACTAACCAAATAGGTAACTACTACCAACTAACCAAGATAGGTAAATACTACTAACTAACCAAATAGGTAACTACTACCAACTAACCAAATAGGTAACTACTACCAACTAACCAAATAGGTAACTACTACCAACTAACCAAATAGGTAACTACTACCAACTAACCAAATAGGTAACTACTACCAACTAACCAAATAGGTAACTACTACCAACTAACCAAATAGGTAACTACTACCAACTAACCAAGATAGGTAAATACTACTAACTAACCAAATAGGTAACTACTACCAACTAACCAAATAGGTAACTACTACCAACTAACCAAATAGGTAACTACTACCAACTAACCAAATAGGTAACTACTACCAACTAACCAAATAGGTAAATACTACTAACTAACCATAGACTAACTATGCAATCTCCATAGACAAACATTGGCAGTAGAATGACCTTACTGAAGAGCTCAGTGTCTTTCAACGTGGCACAGTCATAGGATGCCACTTTCCAACAAGTGACTTAGTCAAATTTCTGCCCTGCTAGAGTTGCCCCGGTCAACTGTCAGTGCTGTTATTGTGAAGTGGAAGCGTCTAGGAGCAACAATGGCTCAGCCGCGAAGTGGTAGGACACACAAGCTCACAGAACGGGACCGCCGAGCGCTGAAGCACGTAGTGAGTAAAAATCGTCTGTCCTCGGTTGCAACACTCACTACCGAGTTCCAAACTGCCTCTGGAAGCAACTCAGCACAATAACTGTTCGTCGGGAGCTTCGTGAAATGGGTTTCCATGGCCGAGCAGCTGCACACAAGCCTAACATCACCATGCGCAATGCCAAGCATCGGCTGGAGTGGTGTAAAGCTTGCCACCATTGGACTCTAGAGCAGTGGAAATGTGTTCTCTGGAGTGATGAATCACGCTTCACCATCTGGCAGTCCGACAGACGAATCTGGGTTTGGCGGATGCCAGGAGAACGCTACCTGCCCCAATGCATAGTGCCAACTGTAAAGTTTGGTGGAGGAGGAATAATGGTCTGGGGCTGTTTTTCATGGTTCGGGCTAGGCCCCTTAGTTCCAGTGAAGGGAAATCTTAATGCTACAGCATACAATGACATTCTAGACGACTCAGTGCTTCCAACTTTGTGGCAACAGTTTGGGGAAGGCCCTTTCCTGTTTCAGCATGACAATGCCCCTGTGCACAAAGCGAGGTCCATAAAGAAATGGTTTGTTGAGATCGGTGTGGAAGAACTTGACTGTCCTGCACAGAGCCCTGACCTCAACCCCATCGAACACCTTTGGGATGAATTGGAACGCCGACTGCGAGCCAGGCCTAATCGCCCAACATCAGTGCCCGACCTCACTAATGCTCTTGTGGCTGAATTGAAGCAAGTCCCCGCATCAATGTTCCAACATCTAGTGGAAAGCCTTCCCAGAAGAGTGGAGGCTGTTATAGCAGCAAAGGGGAGACCAACTCCATATTAATGCCCATGATTTTGGAAATGAGATGTTCGACAAGCAGGCGTCCACATACTTTTAGTGTATGTAACTACTATTAACTAAGACAGGTCTCTAGCAGCCAAGATAGGTAACTACTACTAACTAACTAAGATAGGTAGCTACTATTAACTAACCAAGACAGTTAACTACTAACCAACCAAGATATGTAACTACTACTAACTAACCAATATATGTAACTACTATTAACTAACTTAGGTAACAACTACACAACACACACACACACACTACACACACTACACACACACACACAACACACACACACACACTACACACACTACACAATGAGCAACTTCTGTACTCTACAGTCCAGGTAGATATATACTACTAACTAATTAAGATAGTAACAGTGCCTTCAGAAAGTATTCGCACCTCTTGACTTCTTCCACATTTTGTTGTATTCAAGTCTGAATTTAAAATGGTGGTCCTCTGTAGCTCAGCTGGTAGAGCACGGCGCTTATAACGCCAAGGTAGTGGGTTCGATCCCCGGGACCACCCATACACAAAAAATGTATGCACGCATGACTGTAAGTCGCTTTGGATAAAAGCGTCTGCTAAATGGCATATTATTATTATAAAATGGATAGACATTTTTACTAATTCATCCTTAAATCTGTTGACGCACCCGTCCATCAATCTAAGTAACATAATAAGTAAATCCCCATCAAAATCCTTCAGTTTAAGCTAGAGATATCTGTTTTTTTGCATGTGCTGGGTCTCAATCCACCACATCCTCCTGTGTCGGCCTTCCACACCTGCGGTGAAAGGTGGCCGAGCTACAGCGGTGTTTGTCAGACCATGAGACATCCCGAAAATCAGTCTTCATACGAAAATGTCTGAAGTGTCCGAACGGTTTGGCCTCCAAGCTATCATGACCACTCTATGGAAAGATCCAGACTCTCACTGACACGACATAGCAGTGGTAACCCAGATATCAGCTCCGATCAGACTCTCACTGACACGACATAGCAGTGGTAACCCAGATATCAGCTCCGATCAGACTCTCACTGACACGATATAGCAGTGGTAACCCAGATATCAGCTCAGATCAGACTCTCACTGACACGACATAGCAGTGGGTAACCAGATATTAGCTCCGATCAGACTCTCACTGACACGACATAGCAGTGGTAACCCAGATATCAGCTCCGATCAGACTCTCACTGACACGATATAGCAGTGGTAACCCAGATATCAGCTCAGATCAGACTCTCACTGACACGACATAGCAGTGGTAACCCAGATATTAGCTCCGATCAGACTCTCACTGACACGACATAGCAGTGGTAACCCAGATATCAGCTCCGATCAGACTCTCACTGACACGACATAGCAGTGGTAGGCAACCCTGTTCCTGGAGCTCCGCAGGCGCTTCATGTTTTGATTTATCCGACCTGGAAGACCAGGTGTGTTGAATTTAGGCAATCACTGAACTGATCAATCAGCTCAGTTGGTCAGGTGTGGTGCCTAGTTGGAACAATATCCTGCAGTACCTTCAGAACTCCAGGAACAGGGGGTTGCCTTCCCCTGCAATATAGTACAGACACTTCAAAACCTTATTCCTTATGATTTATTTTCTGACTGTCTGTTTTGCCATTTATGAGTGTGCATTTATTCAATGTGTTTTTTTATCCCCCCCCCCCCAAAAAAAATATATATATATATTTGCCTATGGGGGTCCTACAATTAAAAATCTAATAGCTAAATGATCCATGGTTTGACCATCTTAAAACAATTCCATATGTTAGCTTAGTAAAACTAGTTATTAATTAGACTTTGGATGGTTTATCAATACACCCAGTCACTACAAAGATACAGCCGCTCAGGGATTTCACCATGAGGCCATTGGTGACTTTAAAACAGTTACAGAGTCTAATGTCAGTGATAGGAGAAAACTGGGGATGGATCAACAACATTGTAGTTACTCCACAATACTAACCTAAATGACAGTGTGAAAAGAAGGAAGTCTGTACAGAATAAAAAATATTCCAGAACATGCGTCCTGTTTGCAATAAGGCACTAAATGTGGCAAAGAAATTAACTTTATGTCCTGAATACAAAGCGTTATGTTTGGGGCAAATCCAACACAACACATCACTGAGTACCATTCTTCAAATTTTCAAGCATGGTGGTGGCTGCATCATGTTGTGTGTATGCTTGTCATTTGCAAGGGAATAGAGCAATGCACAGACTAAATCCTAGAGGAAAACCTGGTTCAGTTTGCTTTCCAACAGACACTGGGAGACAAATTCACCTTTCAGCAGGACAATAACCTAAAACACAAGGCCAAATCTACGCTGGAGTTTCTTACCAAGATGACATTGAATGTTTCTGAGTGGCCTAGTTACAGTTTTGACTTAAATCGGCTTGAAAATCTATGGCAAGACTTGAAAATGGCTGTCTAGCAATGAAAAACAACCAACTTGAAGGATTTTTTAAATAATAATAATAATTCAATCCAGGTGTGCAATGTATTGACTCAGGGGTGTGAATACTTCTGTAAAATAGATATTTCTGTATTTCATTTTCAATACATTTTGCAAAAATTTCGAAAAACATGTTTTCAGTTTGTCATTATGGGGTATTGTGTGTAGATGGGTGAGATGTTTTATTTTATTTAATCCATTTTAAATTCAGGCTGTAACACAACAAAATGTGGAATAAGTCAAGGGGTCTGAATACTTTTTGAATGCACTGTAACTAGCTACATAAAATAAATATGGAAGATTAGGTGACTAACTAAACAACAACAACTTCTTCACAATGAGTAACTTCTGTACACTGTAAATACATCCTTAACAACCCTGGCTTTTGTTCCATCTCAACACCTGTCCTGTCCTGTAGCTAAGGTTGAGCAGGTGAAGTTTGATGTGATGGAGCTCCATGCTCGTCCTGAACTGGCAGCACAGCAACGCATGGTGGACGACGCCTCTGGACAGGTTCAGGTGAGACACGCGCGCCCACACCAAGGTTTTCAATGGAGTTGTCAATCTTTTGGGGGATTTCAAGCTACTGAATCTATGGGGTAAATGCTGTCAGGAGAGGACGATATTTCAAACCTAACTTACTAGGTAGCTAACTTGATTCTACTTACATATACTACTAATGTTAAAACACATTGGATTGTTGTAAACATGGGTTAAAGTTCTTTGAACTATATGTTTAAACTATACAACCTAAATGTCTCCTAGCCTCCCACACATGCTTTCTGTCCTAACACTAAAACTAAAACTGAAACTAAATAATTAAAAAAACAAATATATATATTTTTATACAACTAAATAAAAACTAGCAACTCAGGTCTGAAAACGAACAAAACGGAACTTCAAATAAACTGAACTTCAAATAGAAATAGAAAAAGTTATAGAAATAAAAACTGTAGTGACCTTGGCCCACACACACGCAGGCACACACACACAAATACACACACGCACACACACACACACATAGCTCACGCCAGATCGTCATTTCCTGTCACTTCCTGTTGAACGCGGAACGAGGGAGAGCTCGGTTTGTTATTTTGGAAAGTTTTTTGTTTTAAAAGTGTATTAGTAGCTAGCTAACTTTTTTGTTTGGATCCCGCGACACTAGTTGCTGGGAACTTTGTTCTAAAGCTGTATCTATACCCATTGGATGCAGTGATCACAATATAGTGGCTATATCCAGGAAAGCCAAAGTTCCAACAGCTGGGCCTAAAATAGTGTATAAGAGGTCATACAAAAGATTTGGCTGTGACTCTTATGTGGATGATGTTAAAAATATTTGTTGGTCTGATGTGATTAATAAGGAGCATCCAGACGCTGCACTTGATGAATTTATGAAATTGCTTCTTCCAATTATTGATAAACATGCACCTGTTAAGACACGGACTGTTAGAGCTGTTAAGGCTCCATGGATTGATGAGGAATTGAAAAACTGTCTGGTTGAAAGAGACGGGGCAGAAGGAGTGGCTAATAAGACTGGCTGCACATCTGACTGGCTGACTTACTGCAAATTGAGAAATTATGTGACTAAACTCAACAAAAGAAGAAGAAACTGACTTATGAAGCCAGGATCAATGATATAAAGAATGATGGGGGAAAAAACTTGAGTACTTTAAATGAAATTATGGGCAGAAAGACAAATTCAACTCCATCTTTCATCGAATCAGATGGCTTATTCATCACAAAACCATTTGATGTTGCCAATTATTTACATGATTACTTCACTGGCAAAGTGGGAAACGTAGGCAGGAAATGCCAACAACGAACAGTGAGCCATCGTATTCATGCATAAAAAAACTAATAATGAAAGAAAAGCATTGGAAGTTTGAGTTTTGTAAAGTTAGTGTGGGAGAGGTGGTTAATATATTGTTATCGAACAATAATGACAAACCTGCTGGCATTGACAAATTACATGGAAAGCTACTGAGGATGGTAGCTGACTCTATAGCCACTCCTATCTGTCATATCTTTAATCTGAGCCTAGAGGAAAGTCTTTGTCCTCAGGCCTGGAGGGAAGCTAAAGTCATTCCGCTACCCAAGAATGGTAAAGCAGCCTTTACTGGGTCTAACAGCAGACCAATAAGCTTACTACCAGCTCTTAGCCAACTGTTGGAAAAAATGGTGTTTGACCAAATACAATGCTATTTCTCTGTAAACAAATTAACAACAGACTTTCAGCATGCTTATAGAGAAGGGCACTCAACATGTACTGCACTGACACAAATTACTGATGATTGGTTGAAAGAAATTGATAATAAGAAGATTGTGGGAGCTGTACTGTTACATTTCAGTGCAGCCTTTGACATTATTGACCATAACCTGTTGTTGAGAAAACGTATGTTATGGCTTTTCAACCTCTGCCATAGTGTGGATTCAGAGCTATCTATCTAATAGAACTCAAACGGTTTTCTTTAATGGAAGCTTCTCTAATGTTAAACATGTAAAGTGTGGTGTACCGCAGGGAAGATCTCTAGGCCCTCTACTCTTTTCTTGTTTTACCAATGACCTTTCACTGGCATTAAACAAAGCATGTGTGTCCATGTATGCTGATGATTCAACTATATACGCATCAGCAAACACAGCTAATGAAGTCACTGAAACGCTTAACAAAGAGTTGCAGTCTGTTTTGGAATGGGTGGCCAGTAAAAAACTGGTCCTGAACATCTCCATAACTAAGTGCAATGTATTTGGTACAAATCATTCCCTAAGTTCTAGACCTCAGCTGAATCTGGTAATAAATGGTGTGGCTGTTACACAAGTTGAGGAGACTAAATTACTTGGCGTTACCTTAGATTGTGAACTGTCATGGTCAAAACATATAGATTCAAAGGTTGTAAAGATGGGGAGAGGTCTGTCCGTAATAATGAATGCTGCAAGGAAAGACCTAGTTAAGCTGCAGCTGGCCCAGAACAGAGCGACATGTCTTGCTCTTCATTGTAATCAGAGGACTAATATTAATACTATGCATGCCAGTCTCTCTTGGCTAAGAGTTGAGGAGAGACAGACTGCATCACTTCTTCTTTTTATAAGAAACATTCATGTGTTGAAAATTCTAAATTGTTTGCATAGTCAACTTACACACAGCTCTGACACACACACTTACCCACCAGACATGCCACCAGGGGTCTTTCCACAGTCCCCAAATTCAAAACAAATTCAAGAAAGCATACAGTATTATATAAAGCCATTATTGAATGGATCTCCATTCCATCTCAGATTGCTCAAATGAACAGCAAACCTGGTTTAAACAAACAGATAAAGCAACACCTCACGGCACAACGCCTCTCCCCTATTTGACCTAGATAGTTTGTGTGTAAGTATTGATATGGATGTAGTTCTGTCCTTGAGCTGTTCTTGTCTATTAATGTTCTGTATTATGTAATGTTTCATGTTCTGTGTGGACCCCAGGAAGAGTAGCTGCTGCTTTTACAACAGCTAATGGGGATCCTAATAAAAAATAAAATATAATAACAAACACCCACTCACACACTTACTTACTTAAACTTGTAATGGTCTTTGTCCAGATCTGGCGCATAGAGGACCTGGAGTTGAGAGAGCTCCACCCCAGCTCGTTCGGTCAGTTCTATGGAGGAGACTGTTACCTGCTGCTCTATACCTACAAGAGAGCTAACAAGCTGCAATACATACTCTACATGTGGCAGGTGAGACACCCCCTACTGACAACCACGGGTTCTAACCATGATGTCTTCTTTAGTGTATATAATGCCTCGAGCTCCAGCATTATAGTGGTGGTCAATATTACACTAGTCAGTGGTTCGTTTATTAAACACTTTATTAAACACTAGACGCTGAGACTAGTCAGTGGTTCGTTTATTAAACACTTTATTAAACACTAGACGCTGAGACTAGTCAGTAGTTAGTTTATTAAACACTTTATTAAACACTAGAGGCTGAGACTAGTCAGTGGTTAGTTTATTAAACACTTTATTAAACACTAGACGCTGAGACTAGTCAGTAGTTAGTTTATTAAACACTTTATTAAACACTAGAAGCTTAGACTAGTCAGTGGTTAGTTTACTAAACACTTTATTAAACACTAGACGCTGAGACTAGTCAGTGGTTAGTTTATTAAACACTTTATTAAACACTAGACGCTGAGACTAGTCAGTAGTTAGTTTATTAAACACTTTATTAAACACTAGAAGCTGAGACTAGTCAGTAGTTAGTTTATTAAACACTTTATTAAACACTAGAGGCTGAGACTAGTCAGTGGTTAGTTTATTAAACACGTTATTAAACACTAGACGCTGAGACTAGTCAGTAGTTAGTTTATTAAACACATTATTAAACACTAGACGCTGAGACTAGTCAGTGTATAGTTTATTAAACACTAGAAGCTGATACTAGTCAGTGTATTGTTTATTAAACACTAGAAGCTGAGACTAGTCAGTGTATAGTTTATTAAACACTAGAAGTTGAGACTAGTCAGTGTATAGTTTATTAAACACTAGAAGCTGATACTAGTCAGTGTATAGTTTATTAAACACTAGAAGTTGAGACTAGTCAGTGTATAGTTTATTAAACACTAGAAGCTGATACTAGTCAGTGTGTTGTTTATTAAACACTAGAAGCTGAGACTAGTCAGTGTATAGTTTATTAAACACTAGAAGCTGAGACTAGTCAGTGTGTTGTTTATTAAACACTAGAAGCTGAGACTAGTCAGTGTATAGTTTATTAAACACTAGAAGCTGAGACTAGTCAGTGTATAGTTTATTAAACACTAGAAGCTGAGACTAGTCAGTGTATAGTTTATTAAACACTAGAAGCTGAGACTAGTCAGTGTATAGTTTATTAAACACTAGAAGCTGAGACTAGTCAGTGTATAGTTTATTAAACACTAGAAGCTGAGACTAGTCAGTGTATAGTTTATTAAACACTAGAAGCTGATACTAGTCAGTGTGTTGTTTATTAAACACTAGAAGCTGAGACTAGTCAGTGTATAGTTTATTAAACACTAGAAGCTGAGACTAGTCAGTGTATAGTTTATTAAACACTAGAAGCTGAGACTAGTCAGTGTATTGTATATTAAACACTAGAAGCTGAGACTAGTCAGTGTATAGTTTATTAAACACTGGAAGCTGAGACTAGTCAGTGTATAGTTTATTAAACACTAGAAGCTGAGACTAGTCAGTGTATAGTTTATTAAACACTAGAAGCTGAGACTAGTCAGTGTATAGTTTATTAAACACTAGAAGCTGAGACTAGTCAGTGTATAGTTTATTAAACACTAGAAGCTGAGACTAGTCAGTGTATAGTTTATTAAACACTAGAAGCTGATACTAGTCAGTGTGTTGTTTATTAAACACTAGAAGCTGAGACTAGTCAGTGTATAGTTTATTAAACACTAGAAGCTGATACTAGTCAGTGTGTTGTTTATTAAACACTAGAAGCTGAGACTAGTCAGTGTATAGTTTATTAAACACTAGAAGCTGATACTAGTCAGTGTGTTGTTTATTAAACACTAGAAGCTGATACTAGTCAGTGTATTGTTTATTAAACACTAGAAGCTGAGACTAGTCAGTGTATAATTTATTAAACACTAGAAGCTGATACTAGTCAGTGTGTTGTTTATTAAACACTAGAAGCTGATACTAGTCAGTGTATTGTTTATTAAACACTAGAAGCTGAGACTAGTCAGTGTATAGTTTATTAAACACTAGAAGCTGAGACTAGTCAGTGTATAGTTTATTAAACACTAGAAGCTGAGACTAGTCAGTGGTTAGTTTATTAAACACTAGAAGCTGAGACTAGTCAGTGTATAGTTTATTAAACACTAGAAGCTGAGACTAGTCAGTGTATAGTTTATTAAACACTAGAAGCTGAGACTAGTCAGTAGTTAGTTTATTAAACACTTTATTAAACACTAGAGGCTGAGACTAGTCAGTGGTTAGTTTATTAAACACTTTATTAAACACTAGACGCTGATACTAGTCAGTGTGTTGTTTATTAAACACTAGAAGCTGAGACTAGTCAGTGTATAGTTTATTAAACACTAGAAGCTGAGACTAGTCAGTGTATAGTTTATTAAACACTAGAAGCTGAGACTAGTCAGTGGTTAGTTTATTAAACACTAGAAGCTGAGACTAGTCAGTGTATAGTTTATTAAACACTAGAAGCTGAGACTAGTCAGTGTATAGTTTATTAAACACTAGAAGCTGAGACTAGTCAGTAGTTAGTTTATTAAACACTTTATTAAACACTAGAGGCTGAGACTAGTCAGTGGTTAGTTTATTAAACACGTTATTAAACACTAGACGCTGAGACTAGTCAGTAGTTAGTTTATTAAACACATTATTAAACACTAGACGCTGAGACTAGTCAGTGTATAGTTTATTAAACACTAGAAGCTGATACTAGTCAGTGTATTGTTTATTAAACACTAGAAGCTGAGACTAGTCAGTGTATAGTTTATTAAACACTAGAAGTTGAGACTAGTCAGTGTATAGTTTATTAAACACTAGAAGCTGATACTAGTCAGTGTATAGTTTATTAAACACTAGAAGTTGAGACTAGTCAGTGTATAGTTTATTAAACACTAGAAGCTGATACTAGTCAGTGTGTTGTTTATTAAACACTAGAAGCTGAGACTAGTCAGTGTATAGTTTATTAAACACTAGAAGCTGAGACTAGTCAGTGTATTGTTTATTAAACACTAGAAGCTGAGACTAGTCAGTGTATAGTTTATTAAACACTAGAAGCTGAGACTAGTCAGTGTATAGTTTATTAAACACTAGAAGCTGAGACTAGTCAGTGTATTGTTTATTAAACACTAGAAGCTGAGACTAGTCAGTGTATAGTTTATTAAACACTAGAAGCTGAGACTAGTCAGTGTATAGTTTATTAAACACTAGAAGCTGATACTAGTCAGTGTGTTGTTTATTAAACACTAGAAGCTGAGACTAGTCAGTGTATAGTTTATTAAACACTAGAAGCTGAGACTAGTCAGTGTATAGTTTATTAAACACTAGAAGCTGAGACTAGTCAGTGTATAGTTTATTAAACACTGGAAGCTGAGACTAGTCAGTGTATAGTTTATTAAACACTAGAAGCTGAGACTAGTCAGTGTATAGTTTATTAAACACTAGAAGCTGAGACTAGTCAGTGTTTTGTTTATTAAACACTAGAAGCTGAGACTAGTCAGTGTATTGTTTATTAAACACTTAATTAAACACTAGAAGCTGAGACTAGTCAGTGTATAGTTTATTAAACACTGGAAGCTGAGACTAGTCAGTGTATAGTTTATTAAACACTAGAAGCTGAGACTAGTCAGTGTATAGTTTATTAAACACTAGAAGCTGATACTAGTCAGTGTATTGTTTATTAAACACTAGAAGCTGAGACTAGTCAGTGTATAGTTTATTAAACACTAGAAGCTGAGACTAGTCAGTGTATAGTTTATTAAACACTAGAAGCTGAGACTAGTCAGTGTATAGTTTATTAAACACTAGAAGCTGAGACTAGTCAGTGGTTAGTTTATTAAACACTAGAAGCTGATACTAGTCAGTGTATAGTTTGTTAACCTCTACGGGATCGGTGTCCCGTATACGGGACGGTTGAGCTAACGTGCGCTAATGTGATTAGCATGACTGTTGTAAGTAACAGCAAACTTTCCAGGACATAGACATGTCTTATATGGGCAGAAAGCTTACATTCTTGTTAATCTAACTGCACTGTCCAATTTACATTAGCCATTTCAGTGAAAAAATGCAATGCTATTGTTTGAGGAGAGTGCAACAAAAAAATTGTTTGATACATTCACTTCTGAAGGTAAAGAATGTACTTACATTCAGTAATCTTGCTCTGATTTGTCATCCTAAGGGTCTCAGAGATAAAATGTAGCATAGTTTTGTTTGATAAAATCCATTTTTATATTCAAATGTAGGAACTGGGTTCTACAGTTTGAACCCCTGCAGTCTCTGTCTCCAAACCCAACCCGCCCGGCCATCTAAATGTGTGAAAGTTAGTGTATAAGCAACTGATCCATCACTATGGTTATGTACTTGAAAATGTATCAATTGACCAATTCGGCACATTTGGGCAGACTTGATAAGAAATAGTCCAGTATTGCAATGCTTCACTGCATCAATCTGAAAATGTGCATACACACTGCTGCCATCTAGTGGCCAAAATCTAAATTGCGCCTAAACTGCAATATTAAATTGTGGCCTTTCTCTTGCATTTCAAATATGATGGAACAAAAACAAAACAAAAAACACATATTTTTTTGTTTGTATTATCTTTTACCAGATCTAATGTGTTATATTCTCCTACATTAATTTCACATTTCTACAAACTTCAAAGTGTTTCCTTTCAAATGGTATCAAGAATATGCATATCCTTGCTTCAGGTCCTGAGCTACAGGCAGTTAGATTTGGGTATGTCATTTTAGGCGAAAATTGAAAAAAAATTGTCAGAGACTGGCTGAGACTATTAACCACCAGAAGCTGAGACTAGTCAGTTTATAGTTTATTAACCTGTTTGTTGTGCTGGGTGTGTGTGACTGACGTGTGTCTTGGTTTACGGTGCAGGGGCGCCATGCTACCAAGGATGAGATCACAGCGTGTGCCTACCAGGCCGTTGCCCTGGACAACAAGTACAGCGGAGCGCCGGTCCAAGTCAGGGTGGTCATGGGTAAAGAGCCGCGTCACTTCCTGGCCATCTTTAAAGGAAAACTCATCATCTTCGAGGTAAGACGATCTTTCATCTGGTGATGTAGTCCTTCATCTTAAAGGGATAGTTCATCCAAAATCTTATTTTCGGTCACATTTCCCTTTCCTTGAGTTTTGTCTGAAGGTCCATGGTGACAGAATCCACAATAATCCATGATTTGCTTCTGTCTACAGCCTGAAGTTAGCATGTTAGCATGGTCAGATTTCATCAGTGGTTCCAGGCGAACCGATGTTAGCAAAGCTGCACTGCAAGCCAAAACTTCCTCAAAAACACTTCAAACTAAGTTCGGTAGAGTCCATAATCATGAAGAACCTGTCCATGTTTTCTTCACCATGGGAATGTTGTTATCTTGGTCTAATGGTCTAATGCTCTGATACTTCCTATGTTTACCCGTCAGTTTTGTTCACATCTGGAAAGCAAACCATGTCGAAGTGCAGCTTTGCTAACATCGGTTCGCCTGATGAAATCTGACGACGCTAACATGCTAACTTCAGTCTGTAGACAGAAGTAAATCATGGATTATTGTGGATTCTGTCACCATGGACCTTCAGACAAAACTCAAGGAAAGGGAAATGTTACCGAAAGTAAGATTTTGGATGAACTATCCCTTTAAGATGAGGGACTATGTGTGTGTGTGTGTGTGTGTGTGTCTGTGCAGGGTGGAACAGGCAGAGCGGGGGTGACTGGCCCAGGTCCAGGAGCCAGACTGTTCCAGGTTCGAGGGACTAATGAGTTGAACACCAAGGCTACTGAGGTCCCAGCCCGCTCCTCATCACTCAACACCAACGATGTCTTCCTGCTAAAAACTGACCACATTATTTATATGTGGTATGGCAAGGTACTGCACTGTTGCCTGTGGTATGACAAGGTTCAACACTGTTCCCTGTAGTATGACAAGGTTCTACACTGTTACCTGTGGTATGACAAGGTACGATGTTTGACAGGGATTATACAATGGGTGGGTCTAATCCTGAATGCTGATTGGATAAAACCGCATTCCAGCCATTGTGTATTCCACAAGTTACCACCGGCTAAATCTGTGACGTAAAAATCCTATTTACTCTGTTCCATCTGACTGCGCAATCCACTGTCCCATCAGCCCAGCCAGGCAATTTATAAACTTGATCTCCACTATAAAAAGTATCTAGACACTATCTCACATTTCTTTTAGACTAACATTTCGTTTTCAACAGCGGAGATTTGTATAAACCTTGTTGTCTGTTTTCCGACATTTGCAACATTGTTTCAATATTCAACTTCGATCTCCAGCTGTCCCATAGTAATGAACATGTTGGGAGTCGGGACGAGACGGACAGACAGCGTTTCTCAGCCAGTCAAAATCATGAATCATCTGGCATCATTTTTTTGGATATATACAGTGGGGAGAACAAGTATTTGATACACTGCCGATTTTTTTTGCAATGAAATGCAAATTAATTACATAAAAATCATACAATGTGATTTTCTGGATTTTTGTTACAGACCTCTACATGCTTTGTAAGTAGGAAAACCTGCAAATTCGGCAGTGTATCAAATACTTGTTCTGCCCACTGCACAAGGAAATGTCAATTGAAAAAAAGTAAAACGAAACGAAGTGCAGCTAGTTTGCAGTCTTTCCAGCTTCAGTTTGAAGTGATTGTGTTACTGTAGCTGTGTTGTTGGCTAGCTCCTCTGAACAACAGTGTCCTTGACAAGTGAGCACATTTTCTATGCCAGGCGAACTCGCACCTCATTAGCTCATTGTTATGGATGTATCCAAATAAATGTCTGTAGAAAACAGCCTAAACAAGTGCAAATGTGACTACTTTGCTGTTATTCTGGCTGCACTTTTTGACGTAACTGTAAGTTAGCCGTATTTGGCTAGCTAGCAAGCAATGGATAAGAACGTTGCCAGCCAGTAAGGAAATGGAACATCAAGAACGAACGACTGGGTTGCGTCCATAGATACAGAAAAAAAGACTGAACGATTGGGTCGCGTCTCTGGCAACCGAACCGATAGAACGAACGACCAGCCGGCTTTCATGTGTCTGTTTTGTATCTGACATGTACCTGTATGTTACATGTTCTGTCTCAGGGTTGTAGTGGTGATGAGAGAGAGATGGCAAAGGCGGTGTCAGACGTTCTGTCCAGGCAGGATAAACAGGTTGTTACGGAGGGACAGGAGCCTGCTGAGTTCTGGGTGGCTCTGGGAGGGAAGGCCCCCTACGCCTGCGACAAGAGGTATACACACACTGATGACACGGTACACACACACTGCTGACAAGGTATACACAGACTGATGACACGGTATACACACACTGATGACACGGTATACACACACTGCTGACACGGTATACACAGACTGATGACACGGTATACACACACTGATGACACGGTATACACACACTGCTGACACGGTATACACAGACTGATGACACGGTATACACACACTGATGACACGGTATACACACACTGCTGACACGGTATACACACACTGATGACACGGTATATACACACTGATCATAGTAGAACTAGGATGATACTATAACTAGGATGATACTATAACTAGGATGATACTATAGGATATACTATAACTGGATGAACTAACTAGTGAACTATAGGATGATACTATAACTAGGATGACTATAACAATGATTATAACTAGGAGATTACTATAGGATGATACTATAACTAGGATGATACTATAACTAGGATGATTACTATAACTAGGATGATACTATACACTAGGATTATGGATGATACTATAACTAGGATGATACTAACTAGGATGATACTATAGAACTATATGATGATACTATAACTAGGATGATACTATATAGGATGTATAGATATACTAGGATGATACTATAACTAGGATGATACTATAACTAGGATGATACTATAACTAGGATGACTACTAACTAGGATGATACTTAACTAGGATGATCACTATAACTAGGATGATACTATCAGGATGATATACTGCTTATAACTAGGATACTTCTGGATGATACTATAGGATGATAACTATAAACTAGGGGTTAGAACATAAACTAGGATGATACTATACTAGGATGATACTAATAACTAAAGGATGATATACTATAGGATGATTACTATGGGATACTACTAGGATGATACTATACTAGGATGATACTATAACTAGGATGATACTATAACTAGGGATACACTATAAACTAGGATGAACATAATACTAAGGATGATACTATAACTAGGATGATCTATAACTAGGCTGATATACTATAACTAGGATGATACTATAACTAGGATGAACTTAATAACTAATGGATATACTATAGGGATACAAACTAGTGATACTATAACTAGGATATGTGATACTACTGATGAACTAAGGATGATATATAATAGGATGATACTATAGGATGATACTATAACTAGGATGATACTATAACTAGGATGACTTACTAGTAACATAGGATGATACTAACAGGATATATAAACTAGGATGATACTAACTAGGATGATTACTATAACTAGGATAAACTTACTAGGATAACTAAGGATGATACTATAACTAGGATGATACTATACTAGGATGAACTATAGGATGATACTATAACTAGGATGATACTATAACTAGGATGATACTATAACTAGGAGATATACTATAACTAGGATGATACTATAACTAGGATGATACTAGGATGATACTATAACTAGGATGATACTAACTAGGATGATACTATAACTAGGATGATACTATAACTAGGATGATACTATAACTAGGATGATACTAACTAGGATGATACTATAACTAGGGATGATCTATATAGATGATACTATAACTAGGATGATTAGATGACTATAACTAGGATGATACTATAAGGATGATTACTGTATACTACTAGGATGATACTATAACTAGGATGATCACTATATATCTATGGATGATACTAGTTAACTAGGATGATACTATAACTAGGATGATACTATAACTAGGATGATACTATAACTAGATGATACTATAGGATGATACTATATATCTAGGATGATACTATAACTAGGATGTAGATATACTAACTAGGATATCTGATTACTATAACAGGATGATACTATACTAGAGAACTAAGGATGATACTATAACTAGGATGATACTATAACTAGGATTGACTACTATAAACTAGGATGATACTATAACTAGGATGATACTATAACTAGTTTATGAGTACTATAATACTAGGTTATGATAACTATAACTAGGATGATACTATAACTAGGATGATACTATATAGATGATACTAAAATAACTATGGATGTGATACTATAACTAGGATGATACTATAACTAGGATGATACTATAGGATGATACTATAAACTAGGATGATACTATAGGATGAATACTAGATAACTATGGATGATACTATAACTAGGATGATACTATAACTAGGATGATACTATAACTAGGATGATACTATAACTAGGATTGATACTATAAACTAGGATGATACTATAACTAGGATGATACTATAACTAGATGATACTATACTAGGATGATACTATAACTAGGATGATACTATAACTAGGATGATACTATAACTAGGATGATACTATAACTAGGATGATACTATAACTAGGATGACACTATAACTAGGATGATACTATAACTAGGATGATACTATAACTAGGATGATACTATAACTAGGATGATACTATAACTAGGGTGATACTATAACTAGGGTGATACTATAACTAGGATGATACTATAACTAGGATGATACTATAACTAGGATGATACTATAACTAGGATGATACTATAACTAGGATGATACTATAACTAGGATGACACTATAACTAGGGTGATACTGTAACTAGGATGATACTATAACTAGGATGATACTATAACTAGGATGATACTATAACTAGGATGATACTATAGGATGATACTATAACTAGGATGATACTATAACTAGGATGATACTATAACTAGGATGACACTATAACTAGGATGATACTATAACTAGGATGATACTATAACTAGTTTGATACTATAACTAGGATGATACTATAACTAGGATGATACTATAACTAGGATGATACTATAGGATGATACTATAACTAGGATGATACTATAACTAGGATGATACTATAACTAGGATGACACTATAACTAGGATGATACTATAACTAGGATGATACTATAACTAGTTTGATACTATAACTAGGATGATACTATAACTAGGATGATACTATAACTAGGATGACACTATAACTAGGATGATACTATAACTAGGATGATACTATAACTAGGATGATACTATAGGATGATACTATAACTAGGATGATACTATAACTAGGATGATACTATAACTAGGATGACACTATAACTAGGATGATACTATAACTAGGATGATACTATAACTATGGTGATACTATAACTAGGGTGATACTATAACTAGGATGATACTATAACTAGGATGATACTATAACTAGGATGACACTATAACTAGGATGATACTAGGATGACACTATAACTAGGATGATACTAGGGTGATACTATAACTAGGATGATACTATAACTAGGATGACACTATAACTACGATGATACTATAACTAGGATGATACTATAACTAGGGTGATACTATAACTAGGACCTAGAGTTTTCATGGTCAGGTCCCTCTTGCAATATCTTTAGATGTAAGCCTGCTATTGATCAGTCTATCGTTCTGAACATCAAATGCTGTCATGTGACATCACATCCTGTCTGTCAGACTGCAGAAGGAGGAGCCGACCCACAGCCCTCGGTTGTTTGAATGCTCCAATCAGACGGGTCGGTTCAGGATGACAGAGGTGCAGGACTTGGCTCAGGAGGACCTGGACCAGGATGATGTCATGCTGCTGGACACCTGGGAGGAGGTGAGGGTCAGGGGTCATCACTATGGTTACCTGGGAGGAGGTGAGGGGTCAGGGGCCATCACTATGGTTACTTGGGAGGAGGTGAGGGGTCAGGGTTCATCACTATGGTTACTTGAGAGGAGGTGAGGGGTCAGGGGTCATCACTATGGTTACCTGGGAGAAGATGAGGGGTCAGGGGTCATCACTATGGTTACCTGGGAGGAGGTGAGGGGTCAGGGGCCATCACTATGGTTACCTGGGAGGAGGTGAGGGGTCAGGGGTCATCACTATGGTTACCTGGGAGAAGATGAGGGGTCAGGGGTCATCACTATGGTTACCTGGGAGGAGGTGAGGGGTCAGGGGCCATCACTATGGTTACCTGGGAGGAGGTGAGGGATCAGAGGCAATCACTATGGTTACCTGGGAGGAGGTGAGGGATCAGGGGCCATCACTATGGTTACCTGGGAGGAGGTGAGGGATCAGAGGCAATCACTATGGTTACCTGGGAGGAGGTGAGGGATCAGGGGCCATCACTATGGTTACCTGGGAGGAGGTGAGGGGTCAGGGGTCATCACTATGGTTACCTGGGAGGAGTTGAGGATCAGGGGTCATCACTATGGTTACCTGGGAGGAGAGTGAGGTGTCAGGGGCCATAGTATGAAAATGTATGCACTCACTAACTGTAAGTTGCTCTGGATAAGAGCGTCTGCTAAATGACTAAAATGTAAAAAACTGTAAATAACTGTGGTTACCTGGGAGGAGGTGAGGGGCCTCCTGTAGCTCAGTTGGTAGAGCATAGCGCTTGCAACGCCAGGGTTGTGGGTTCGATTCCCACGGGGGGCCAGTATGAAAAATGTATGCACTCAGTAACTGTATGTCGCTCTGGATAAGAGCGTCTGCTAAATGACTAAAATGTAAATGTCATGGGTCATCACTATGGTTACCTGGGAGGAGGTGAGGGGTCATTACCAGGGTCATGGGACCTGGGCTCAGTCAAATCCCCTGGTAACATATACATACAGTAGTTGATGAGGCAAGGATCCACATTCCAGTAGAGTTCTCATGTAGAGCATGATCATAAAGCCCAGTTCAGTTCAGGTGAACCATATCATCATTACCACTGAATAACCCTGACTCCATACCTGTCCAATCCCGTCAGATCTTCCTGTGGATTGGCAGGTCTGCCAACGAATATGAGACCAAGGAAGCGTGTAACAGTGCTCTAGAATACCTGAGGAACCACCCAGCGGGGCGGGACCCTGACACACCCATCATCTCCGTCAAACAGGGCTACGAGCCTCCAACCTTCACCGGATGGTTCAGCGCATGGGACCCTCACAAGTGGAGCGTGAGTAGGGCTGGGATACCATACCAGCCATCACCACTAGAGGGAATACTGGAGGAACTGGTAGAAATGTGATTGGATGTGGTTTATTGAATAACTTCACCAAAGTGAATTTAATTTATTAGGGGAAGAGGATTCGAGTCAATCTGTGTTTGTAAATGTGTTCTGTGCATGTACTTACAGTCAGGTAGAGTTTTAATAAATTGATTTATGATTCTTAACATGAAGATCACAGACCAAACTGGTGTTAACAGACTCGTGGATCTTCTCTTCTCAACAGGGAGGATCCTCCTATGAGGAAATGAAACAAAAGTTGGGCGATGTTTCGACTATCTCTCAGATTACTGTAGTAAGTGATTCACTAACAAACTCTAAAAATAATGAAGTTAATAACTCAACCAAGTAACAAAAATAACCATTAACCACCTTTATTGTCATTATGATATAACCAGTACACGTCTAACCTTTGCATGCATCAAACATGCATGATTGTAACTGAAGAAACATGAATTTACATATTTTCTAAATCATCCAACCAGCTTTCACCTGTTAGAGTGGATATCACCTGTTAGAGTGGATATCACCTGTTAGAGTGGATATCACCTGTTAGAGTGGATATCACCTGTTAGAGTGGATATCACCTGTTAGAGTGGATATCAGTTGTTAGAGTGGATATCACCTGTTAGAGTGGATATCAGCTCTTAGAGTGGATATCAGCTGTTAGAGTGGATATCAGTTGTTAGAGTGGATATCACCTGTTAGAGTGGATATCAGTTATAGAGTGGATATCACCTGTTAGAGTGGATATCAGTTGTTAGAGTGGATATCAGTTGTTAGAGTGGATATCAGTTGTTAGAGTGGATATCAGCTGTTAGAGTGGATATCAGTTGTTAGAGTGGATATCACCTGTTAGAGTGGATATCACCTGTTAGAGTGGATATCAGTTGTTAGAGTGGATATCAGTTGTTAGAGTGGATATCACCTGTTAGAGTGGATATCAGCTGTTAGAGTGGATATCACCTGTTAGAGTGGATATCACCTGTTAGAGTGGATATCACCTGTTAGAGTGGATATCACCTGTTAGAGTGGATATCAGCTCTTAGAGTGGATATCAGTTGTTAGAGTGGATATCAGTTGTTAGAGTGGATATCAGTTGTTAGAGTGGATATCAGTTGTTAGAGTGGATATCAGTTGTTAGAGTGGATATCACCTGTTAGAGTGGATATCACCTGTTAGAGTGGATATCACCTGTTAGAGTGTGGATATCAGCTGTTAGAGTGGATATCAGTTGTTAGAGTGGATATCACCTGTTAGAGTGGATATCAGTTGTTAGAGTGGATATCAGTTGTTAGAGTGGATATCACCTGTTAGAGTGGATATCACCTGTTAGAGTGGATATCACCTGTTAGAGTGGATATCAGCTGTTAGAGTGGATATCAGTTGTTAGAGTGGATATCACCTGTTAGAGTGGATATCAGCTGTTAGAGTGGATATCAGTTGTTAGAGTGGATATCACCTGTTAGAGTGGATATCACCTGTTAGAGTGGATATCAGTTGTTAGAGTGGATATCAGTTGTTAGAGTGGATATCACCTGTTAGAGTGGATATCAGTTGTTAGAGTGGATATCAGTTGTTAGAGTGGATATCAGTTGTTAGAGTGGATATCACCTGTTAGAGTGGATATCACCTGTTAGAGTGGATATCAGTTGTTAGAGTGGATATCACCTGTTAGAGTGGATATCAGCTGTTAGAGTGGATATCAGCTGTTAGAGTGGATATCATCTTTCATCTGTTAGGTTAGCTGATATCAGTATTTTAATCTCAGTCATCCTCTTGTTCCGTGTTTGTAGAATCTGAACAACACAGACCTGAATCAGGGTTCTGCTGGGGGCGGTAGTGGATACAGCGCTCCAGGAGGCCCAGCCCAGTTCAGCTCTCCCCCATCCTACAAGCCCCCCCTTGGGACAGGAGGAGGCTCCTTTGGTCCCTCCAGCCCAGCCACCCCTGGAGGTCAGAAATGCCTGTCCACCAACTTCAGCACTACGCTGTCCCCCACCCTGTCCTCACCCTCCCTTGTCCCCTCCACCACGCCGGCCCCCAGGACTGGAGAGTACCTGGACCCTGAGCTGCTGCTCAACAAGAGCCCCAAGGAGCTGCCCCAGGGAGTGGACCCCAGCAGGAGAGAGGTGATGATGCTATGATGAAATAGTCCAGCTGAGACTCTATCGTATAGCAGGTTATTAGGGGAATGGTAATCTCTTGTGGACAGATGAAACGGTGAGAATATGTCTATGCTCACGTAGAACTATGTAATTACGACCAGCAGTAGTTCTTGGTTTTGGGTTTTCATCATTGATTATTTGGACAAATCAGGATTGGGCGAAGGTGGTTCTTCAACTGGTGCAGTGATCTTCAAGCCCGTGTGCAGCTGATAAATGGTTTCCACAGCCACAAAGTCAATATTGGCTATATCATTACAATTCAGGAAAACAAAAATGCCATTTTTGGCCATGATAAACACGGGTGAAATTAGCGGAAGGGAGGGGTTTGGCCTAGAGTTTCCATTTGCGAGGGAGGAGACTGATTGTTAATTAACCATTAACAATCACAATTGTTAATGGTTAATTAATTAACGTTAATCGTTAACTTCCCCCCAGAAGTAAAAGAGGAAATGACAATCTTTCGCGAAATACTTTTACTTCTGGGGAACCGAGATTAGTGTAATGGTGTTGAACTGACAGCAGGGGTCAGCATAACACATACAGTACCTCTCTTTCTAACTATGTTTCTCTCTCTCTCTCTCTCTCTCTCCTCTCTCTCTCTCTCTCTCTCTCTCTCTCTCTCTCTCTCTCTCTCTCTCTCTCTCTCTCTCTCTCTCTCTCTCTCTCTCTCTCTCTCTCTCTCTCTCTCTCTCTCTCTCTTTCTCTCTCTCTCTCTTTCTCTCTCTTTCTCTCGCTCACTCTCTCTCTCCGTTGTCAGGACTATCTCTCTGATGTGGATCTGGAGAACCTGCTGGGTTGTTCTCGGTCTGGTTTCCAGCGGCTGCCCAAGTGGCGGCAGAACGACCTGAAGAAGAAGGCGGGCCTGTTCTGAGTGGGCGGAGTCAGTCAGTCAGGGATGACATCAGGACATAGCTTATTAGAGTTGAAAATGTTCCTTGATTGTGTTAAAGTTCTTTTGAAGTTGAGAGAGAGAGAGAGAGAGAATGTTTTTTAAATGGTTTTTCAACAGAACAGTGTAGAAGTGGCAGCAACATGCTGAACTGAAGACCTGGAACAGAGACACTGTGCTGAACTGTGAGAACAACTCACAACAAAGATGCCAAAATTTTTCAAATCCAAGATGGATGCACTGTACAGAAGTGTACTTCATACATACTTCAGCTGAATTTGTGCTATGCTTGATTACTAACAGTAAGTTACGAGCAGTAAAATAACTTTTTTTGTTTTTAGTCTCTTTAAAAAAGACATTATTTATTGAACAATTGAACAAACCATGCCCAGTCCTTCATCGATATGTTCTATATGCTGAACAGAAGAAATAGCAGGACGGTGTCTTTTTTTAACTTTAATTAAATCGAGGAACATTTCTTAAATTTTTATCTTATGATCAGTTTCTATTTTTGTTATATTTGCTCTACTTTTCAATGATGAGTTATGATTTTAAAACCGTTTTTTAAAATGTATTTTCTAACAATCAAACATAATGAACAAACCCTCTCAAAATCACACAGCTAATTATCATAAAGCTAATTATCATAAAGCTAATTATCATAAAGCCTCTAATAATAAAACAATATACAATCAAATCTCTGATTCAAATTCTTCTTTTACTCAAGAGCTTGTGCAAATGAGGTTTAGTGAAAAATGACAAAGGAATATTGCAATATACAGTGCCTTCGGAAAGCATTCAGACCCCTTGACCTTTTCCACATTTTGTTACGTTACAGCCTTATTCTAAAATTGATTACATTGTATTTTTTCCTCATCAGTATTCACACAATATCCCATAATGACAACGCAAAAATAGGTTTTTATAAATTTTTGCAAAAATATTACAAATAAAAAATTTAAATATCACATTAATATAAGTATTCAGACCATTTACTCAGTACTTTGTTGAAGCACCTTTGGCAGCAATTACAGCCTTGAGTCTTCTTGGGTATGATGCTACAAGCTTGGCACACCTGTATTTGGGGAGTTACTCCCATTCTTCTCTGCAGATCCTCTCAAGCTCTGTCATGTTGGATGGGGAGCATCGCTGCACAGCGATTTTCAGGTCTCTCCAGAGATGTTCGATCGAGTTCAAGTCTGGGCTCTGGCAGGGCCACTCAATGACATTCAGAGACTTGTCCCGAAGCCACTCCTGTGTTGTCTTGGCTGTGTGTTTAGGGTTGTTGTCCTGTTGGAAGGTGAACCTTTGCCCCAGTCTGAGGTCCTGAGTGCTCTGGAGCAGGTTTTCTTCAAGGATCGCTCTGTACTTTGCTCCGTTCATCTTTGCCTTGATCCTGACTAGTCTCCCTGTCCCTGCCACTGAAAAACATCCCCACAGCATGATGCTGCCACCACCATGCTTCACCGTAGGGATGGTGCCAGGTTTCCTCCAGACGTGACACTTGGCATTCAGGCCAAAGAGTTCAATCTTGGTTTCATCAGACCAGAGAATCTTGTTTCTCATGGTCTGAGAGTCTTTAGGGGCCTTTTGGCAAACTCCAAGCGGGCTGTCATGTGCCTTTTACTGAGGAGTGGCTTCCGTCTACCCACTCTAACATAAAGGCCTAATTGGTGGAGTGCTGCAGAGATGGTTGTCCTTCTGGAAGTTTCTCCCATCTCAGAGGAACTCTAGAGCTCTGTCAGAGTGACCATTGGGTTCTTGGTCACCTCCCTGACCAAGGCCCTTCTCCCCCGATTGCTCAGTTTGGTCGGGCGGCCAGCTCTAGGAAGAGCCTTGGTGGTTCTAAACTTCTTCTATTTTAAGAATGATGAAGGCCACTGTGTTCTTGGGGACTTTCAATGCTGCAGACATTTTCTGGGACCCTTCCCCAGATCTGTGCCTCGACACTAAATCCTGTCTCGGAGGTCTACAGACAATTCCTTCGACCTCATGACTTGGTTTGTGTTCTGACATGCACTGTGAACTGTTGGACCTTATATAGACAGGTGTGTGCCTTTCCAAATCATGTCCAATCAATTTAATTTACCACAGGTGGACTCCAATCAAGTTGTAGAAACATCTCAAGGATGATCAATGGAAACAGGATGCACCTGAGTCTCATAGCAAAGGGTCTGAATACTTATGTAAATAAAGTATTTCTGTTATACATTTTTTATACATTTGCAAACATTTATAAGAAACTGTTTTTGCTTTGTCATTATGGGGTATTGTGTGTAGACTGATGAGGATTTCCTTTAATTTAATACATATTTAGAATAAGGCTGTAATGTAACAAAATGTGGAAGAAGTCAAGGGGTCTCAATACTTTCCAAATACACTGTATACAACTCCATAATGTCTTTGTATTCTGATATAGAAAGTTGCAATGTCTCCTGTTATATTGTTACTCAGCTGATATTAAGAGAAGAGTGTGAACAGCTGATATTAAGATTTGGACTCCAGACCAAAGGACATTGCTCGTCTCTTCTTCTTATTGGTGTCCTTTAGTAGTGGTTTCTTTGCCGCAATTCGACCATGAAGGCCTGATTCACACAGTCCCCTCTGAACAGTTGATGTTGAGATGTGTCTGTTACTTGAACTCTGTGAAGCATTTATTTGGGCTGTAATTTCTGAGGCTGGTAACTCTAATGAACTTATCCTCTGCGGTGGAGGTAACTCTGGGTCTTCCGTTCCTGTGGCGGTCCTCATGAGAGCCAGTTTCATCATAGCGCTTCATGGTTTTTACAACTGCACTTGAAGAAACTTTCAAAATTCTTGAAATGTTCCGTATTGACTGACCTTCATGTCTTAAAGTAATGATGGACTGTTGTTTCTCTTTGCTTATTTGAGCTGTTCTTGACATAATATGGATTTGGTCTTTTACCAAATAGGGCTATCTTCTGTATACACCCCTACCATGTCACAACACAACTGATTGGCTCAAACGCATTAAGAAGGAAAGAGATTCCACAAATTAACTTTTAAGAAGGCACACCTGTTAATTGAAATGCATTCCAGGTGACTACCTCATGAAGCTGGTTGAGAGAATGCCAAGAGTATGCAAAGCTGTCATCAAGGCAAAAGGTGGCTATTTGAAGAATCTCAAATATAAAATAGATTTTGATTTGTTTAACACTTTTTTGGTTACTACATGATTCTATATGTGTTATTTCATAGTTTTGATGTCATCACTATTATTCTACAATGCAGAAAATAAAAATAATAAAGAAAAACCGTTGAATGAGTAGGTGTGTCCAAACTTTTGAATGGTACTGTACATGTCAGCACCCACAGCTAATGAAATCACTTCAACCCTAAACAAAGAGTTGCAGTCAGTTTTAGAATGGGTGGCTGTTAATAAACGGGTCCTGAACACATGTAAAACTAAAAGCATTGTATTTGGTACAAATCATTCCATAAGTTCTAGTCCTCATCTGAATCTGGTAATGAATGATGTGACTGTTGAGCAAGTTGAGGAAACTAAACTTCTTGGCGTCACCTTAGACTGTAAATTGTCATGGTCAAGGCATATTGATTAAATTGTTGTCAAGATGGGGCGAGGTCTGTCTGTGATGAAGAGATGCTCTGCTTATTTAACAGCTCAGTCGACCAAACAAGTCCTGCAGGCTCTAGTTTGATCTAATCTTGACTATTGCCCAGTGATGTGGTCAAGTGCTGCAAAGAAGGACCTAGAAAAGCTGCAGCTGGCCCAGAACAGATGAGTACGTCTTGCCCTTCAATGTACACAGAGGGCTAATGTCAACAGTATACCTCTTGGCTCAATGTAGAGGAGAGACTGACTGCATCAATTCTTGTTTTTGTGAGAAATCCAAAATGTCTGTATAATCAACTTACATATAGCTCTGACAGACATACTTACCCCACCAGACATGCTCTTCACAGTCCCCAGGTCCAGAACAAGCTTACAGTATTATACAGAGACATGATTGCATGGAAGTTCCTTTCATCTTCTATAGCGCAAGTGAACAGCAAACCTGGTTTCAAAAAACGTAATAAAGCATCACCTCACGTCACAACACCTCTCCCACTTGCTGTGTGTATATACTGACATGTACACTGTGTGTAACTGATAGATGCACACAAACACACACACACACAGTCAGTAACAACAGTCAGTCAAAACAGTCAGCAACAACAGTCAGTAACAACAGTCAGTAACAACAGTCAGTCAAAACAGTCAGTCAAAACAGTCAGCAACAACAGTCAGTAACAACAGTCAGTCAAAACAGTCAGCAACAACAGTCAGTAACAACAGTCAGTCAAAACAGTCAGCACAACAGTCAGTAACAACAGTCAGTCAAAACAGTCAGCACAACAGTCAGTAACAACAGTCAGTCAAAACAGTCAGCACAACAGTCAGTAACAACAGTCAGTCAAAACAGTCAGTAACAATAGTCAGTCAAAACAGTCAGTATCAACAGTCAGTAACAACAGTTAGTAACAACTGTCAGTCAAAAACAGTCAGTCAAAAACAGTCAGTCAAAACAGTGGGTAACTTTGAAAAGGCTTTTGAGAAATAACGACTGGAGTTTATATATAAATGCCTGGAGCATTTCAATTTTGGATAATCTCTTTTAAAATTGGTTAAAATCATGTATAGTAACCCTAGGTGTAAAATAGTAAACAATGGCTATTTCTCAGAAAGTTTTAAACTGTCAAGAGGAGTAAAACAAGGTTGTCCACTATCGGCATATCTATTTACTATTGCCATCGAAATGTTAGCTGTTAAAATCAGATCCAACAATAACATCAAGGGATTAGAAATCCAGGGCTTAAAAACAAAGGTGTCATTGACGCTGATGATTCATGTTTTCTTTTAAATCCACAACTTGAATCCCTCCACAGCCTCATAGAGGATCTAGATACTTTTTTTTAACTTCTCTGGATTACAACCTAATTATGATAAATGTACTATATTACATATTGGATCAATAAAAGATACAACTTTTACATTACTGTGTAGTTTACCAATAAAATGGTCTGATGGTGATGTGGATATACTCGGTATTCAT